AGTCGACCGTGGTTCGAGTCCCGGTGGCTTAAAGTCACGCCGGGCACGTGTGCGTGCGTGTCCAAGATCCCAAGAAGAGAATGGAGGAGAAGGGATTGCGGCGTGGTCATCCCCCCTGGGGGGTGATTCCTCATTTTCTATCTCTCTGTCTCTCTCAGTCTGTCTGGCGAGTGCACACGCCCTATAGCAAAAACCTCTCCCAAAAAAAAGAAAAGAAAAAATTTAAGGATATTGGTAAAAGTAACTAAGTAGCCACTTTTATTATACTTCTGGTTTGTAAGTCCTCTTTTTTTCCTATATGACTTAGAAGACAAATGCATAAAATGATAATTACAAATTATATTAATGGGCACCCCATTGTATGAAGATATAATCTGTAACATTAACAATGTAAAAGGGAGAAGAAATGAATGTGTTAGTTATAGTCCCCAAGGCAAACAGTAACAAAAATAACTAAAAAATATACACAAAAAGAAGAGAATCAATTCACTACATCTCAACTAAATTTAAAAAAATGGTGTAATGAAGGAACTGAGGGGGTAAAAAACCTATGACACAATAAACAAATTGCTAGCAGAAAGGTCCTTCTCTATCAGTAATTACTTTAAATGTAAAGGAATTAAAATCTTTAAGGGAGGAGCTGGCAGGTGGCATGGTGGTTAAAGGCACTGGACTCTCACATGACTGACTATGTTCGAGTAAGAGACCTGGAAGTTTGCTTTCTCGTTTTTGCTCTCTCTCTGTCCCTCTCTGGTAAAATTAAAATAAATCAATAAATTAACAAGTTAAATAATTCTTTTAAAAAACTCTCTAAAGGAAAGGCAAAGATTGCCAGGATGAATGAGAAAAACAAAATACTCAATTACATGCTGTCAATGAGAAATTCATTTTAAATATTACATTGTACAGAAAATACAGTGTTAAGTTTTCTCCTTTAATTATTTTTAAATTACTACAGGGCTTGTGCAATCACCAGAGAGAGGGAGCAAGAGTGAGAGCAAGGGAGAGAAAGAGAAGGTGAGAAAGCAAGCTGCCAGGTCTGTGACTTGAACCACAGTCAGCCATGTAAGAGTGTAGTGGCTTAACTACCATGCCACCTGCTAGCCCAATATAGTGTAGTTACATCAAACAGAAAAATTTATTCAAAATGGATCAAATATCTAAATAGTTAAAACTACAAAACTCTTCAAAGAGAACTTTAGAAGGGCCATCAAGTGGCATGGTGGTTGAGGTGTTAAGACTCCCACATGACCGACCACAATTCCAGTCCCGGACCTGGTGACTTCTCTCTCTCTTTCTCTCTCTGTGAAGCAAATTAAAATAATAATAATAATAATAATAATAATTAAAATTAAATAATTCTTTTTTAAAAAAAGAAAAATTAGAGAAAAATCTGCATGACTTTGGATTTGGTGATTGTTTCGTAACTGTGACACCAAAAGCAACAAACAAAAATATAAACTGGACTACATTAAAATTTAACGCTTTCATATTCCATACAGGTATACAAATAAATATTTCAATAATTTGTCTGACCATTTATGAATACTTTAAGAAACCACCCACAATGATTCTCTGATTAATTTCAGATATTTCTTTCAGGTATTGACTGCTATATTCTGGTCATTTCCAAATGATAAAAGGACTTCCTGATCATTAAAAAAACTACATGTAGGGGCCAGCAAGTGGCATAGTGGTTAAGGCACTGGACTCCCACATGGCCGATCGCAGTTCAAGTCCTGGACCTGACAGCTTGAAAATCACACTGAACACTTGTGCATGTGTGCCTAAAATCCCAGGAAGAGAATGAAGGAGAAGGAATTGCAGCATGGCCACACCCCAGAGGAGTGATTTCTCACTTTCCCTCTCACCGTCTCTCTCTGTCTCTCTCTGGCTTGTGTACACACCCTAAGGCAAAAATCTTAATGAAAAAAAAAATAATAACCTGTGTATATACACTCTTAAAACGGAAACACATTACTCTTATGAATAACTTATAAATATCCTTCAGTTACCAAAAAAAATGCCAAGGCTGGGGGTTCCACTTAGAGTCATGATTCTAAGCCTTTTTCACAAATGATAGAAAATATCCCAGTGTCCACTGACTCTTGACTTTGGGATTCTGAACATGACACACTTTGGGCAACTGGACACTAGCAGATATGATGGAAAAAGGTATTGGAAAAGTATATAATCAAGCTTGCTTTCTTCTTCCACATCTGCCACTGCAATGATAATATGCCTTGGCTTATCTATTGGTCCACAAAGGATGAGATACAAGAGATACAGAGCAGAGCTGACCAGTTGAGCCCAACCTATTATAGATCAGCCAACCATAGTAAGATGCCTAAGCCCAGCTGAAATCATTAGAGCTGCCCAACCAAGCCCAAGCCTAGATCATCTTCCATCCAGTCACTTCATAGATGTGTGACCTGCAAGAATGATTGTTTTAAGTCACCGAGTTTTGAAATTATTACATAGGAAGAAATAATTCAGACATACAGTGATAAGAAATACATTTCTCTTCATTTGGTATTGCTGGTAGAGAATCTTTCTCTTTTCCTGTCTCTAATCTCTGCAGCTTGGACCATTCTCAGGGCCATTCGACTTGCCCCTTTCAGGAACTGTTAGGGAAACCCCTTTAGAATCATCTTGCTCACCTAGAACTCATGAAAACTTCTGTTTTTATTCTATTTTATTCATTTGTGCCATTGAGATTCAGATAAGCAGACCTAGGACAAGTAGGATCATGACAGAAATGTCAGAGAAGATCACCAAATGTCTTTTTTATGACAGACTGAAAAGAATTTATCCTGAGAAAGAATGATCAAGAACCTAAAAGTGAGGCAATAACAACGCCCAAAATCCTAAGTTGTTGGGGTGAAGGTAAAGAAAATAGAAAAAGTATTTTTTTATTACAGTAATCTCTGATTTATATATAATCATTGTACATCTTTTCAGCTACAATATGTTTTTTTGTTTTTTGGAGAGGTTTTTGCTCTAGGGCACATGCGCTCGCCGGAAAGACAGAGACAGACAGAGAAACAGAAAGCGAGAAATCACCCCCCCAGGGGGATGGCCACGTCACAATCCCTTCTCCTCCATTCTCCTCTCAGGATCTTGGGCACACATGCACACGTGCCCGGCGTGAGTTTTAAGCCACCCAGTCCAGGACACAAACCGCGGTCGACTATATAGGAGTCCAGCGACATAGCCATTACACTAACTGCTGGTCCCTGTTTGTTTTTTTCTTTAAGAGAGCTTTTTGCTATAGGGTAAATGTGCTGGCCAGAGAGAGACAGAGACAGAAAGCAGGCAATCACCCCCCAGGAGGGTTGGTCACACCGCAATCACTTTTCTCCCTTCTCCCTTAGTGATTTTGGGCACGCACGCACATGTTCCCAGCATGAGTTTTAAGCCACCGGGTCCGGGACTCAAACTGGTGTTCACTACATGGGAATCCAGTGATGTAATCATTATGCCATCTGCTGGTCTCCCTACCATATAGCTTTTTAAAACATGTATGCAGTGTGTAATAATCAATTCAAGGGTATAAACATATTCACCATATTCAACATTTAACATTATGTTGTATACATTTAAAATTAGAATTACAAGGGGGACCAGCAGTTGGCGTAATGACTATGTCACTGGACTCCCATGTAGTCAAACATGGTTCAAGTCCCAGACACGATGGCTTAAACTCAGGCCAGGCGCATGTGTGTGCGTGCCCAGAATCCTGAGAGGAGAATGGAGGAGAAGGGATTGCGGTGTGGCCATATTTCTTGCTTTCTATCTCTCTGTCTCTGTCCTTCTGGCGAGAGCATAAAAGACAGCAAAACCTCTCAAAAAAAAAAAAAATAGATCTACAAGGTTTTTTTGAAATATATATTGTTAGAAACATTCTCTACTATTGCACACTATTCCATAGCCAACTCAACTTATTTACACGCACTCTTGTGTCTTTTAAGTAATTTCTTCCAATGCCTCCCCCTCAATCCACCTCCCCATTCAGCTACTAATATCTACTATTATTCTCTCTAATTCTATGCCACTGAGCCTTTTAGCTTCTGCTAATGAGTGATGATAAGATGTTTGAGTTTCATATCCAAATTCTACTTAACGCTCTATTGTCTAGGTTTATCCATTTTGTCTCAAATCATATGAGTTCATTATTCTTTACATATGCACATTTTCTTTATATATTCATCAGTTAGGCACTTAGATTGATTCCATGTCACAGCTGGAGTGACTACTGCTGCAATAAAACATGGACGTGAGGGGGGCAGCAGGTGGTGTAATGGTTAGGGTGCTAGATTCCTACATGGTCAACTGCAGTTAGAGACCCAGAACTGGAGGTTTGCTTTCGTGCTTTCCCTCTCTGTTTCTCTCTGATCAAATTTTTTAAAAAATAATAATGATAAAAATTAAATTAAATATTTTTTAAAATGTATGTGCAAATGTCTCTCCAATAGATTGATTTCCTGTCCTTTGGGTATATATACAATAACAGGATTACTGTTTTGTTTTGTTTTGTTTTGTTTTGAGAGAGGTTTTTCTCTATAGGACGCATGCGCTCGCCAGAAAGACAGAGAGAGACGGAGAGACAGAAAGTGAGAAATAACCCCCTGAGGGCATGGCCACGCCGCAATCCCTTCTCCTCCATTCTCCTCTCGGGATCTTGGGCACGCACGCACACACTCCCGGAGTGAGTTTTAAGCCACCGGGTCCGGGACACGAACCACGGTCGACTACGTGGGAATCCAGCAACATAGTCATTACGCTAACTGCTAGTTCCCACCCAGGATAACACTTTGAAACCACTCCTGTTGAGCAAAAGAGAGTATAAATAAAAATAAATACATAAATCTATCTATTAAACCATTATCTATATCTATTAAACCATTTTCATTCATACTCAGCAAAGATTTAAAATACCTGAGAATATAAGAAAGACATACAATTAACTTTACACAAAACTTAAGCTTCTGATGGCCTACCTGTAGACCTTTCACATTTGGAAAAGGAATTCCTATTGTTATGACAGCACGGGCATTGTCATCTGAAAAATCCAGACCCTCACTCACTTTACCACGACAGACTGCTACAAGGAGGGCTCCATCTTAAGCAACAGAAAAGAAACACTTTTTAAAAATACACACAAAATTCTCGGAAACTGCTTACCCATGTCATTTTGAAAAGATTCCATTGTTAAATAAGCACAGTAGCCAATGTAAAATAATCAAAATAAAACACTATTATTAGATAAAGCTTTAAAAGTAAAATATCTTTAAATAAAAAAGGGAAACAAAATTACATTTAGATGCATATGGTAACAAACAAATTTACAACTGTGAATCTCCAAGATGCACTTACACTGTAAGTAACTGTAAGTCACATACAAATACACATAATTAAAACTCTAATTTATAGTATATATATTGAACTGATACATTGAAAAGTATTTAAAATGTACAAAGAGAACTCCATGTTTAGTCCTATAAAAAGATACTGACAATGATTATAGTATCTGTATTACACTGTTCAAACACTTAGTTCTTCACATCAAACTTTTTATAAATATTCTCTAACCTGGAATTTGGATCTTCAGTTATGTTTTAAAAACTCAAGTTTACCTATGTAATGGAATATAAACACAAGTGTATTATTTGTGACAAAATATAGGTATCATTTGGTCACTGAGGAAGATATTTACATATACTCTAGCTGCCTTTTTTTTGTTTTAAGATTTTGTATAGGGCATGTGAGCTCACTGGAGAGAGACAGAGGGAAAGTAAGAAATCCCCCGGAGGGGGATACCCACACTGCAATCCCTTCTCCTCCAGTCTCCTCGAAGGATTTTGGGCACACACGCACATGTGACCAAAATGATTTTCAAGCTGCGTGGTCCAAGATTGGGAATACAGTCAGTCATCACCATCTGACCCCTCTAGCTGCCTTTTTAGCATAGAATATTTTAGGTAGTGTAAGGAAGACTATGAGATAATACCTGTATGTATGCCATTTGTTAAAGCTGAAAAAACACACCTGAATACAAATAAATATTCATAGAGGAAAACATCAAATAAGAGAATTCCTTTACCTAACTTTCTTTTCACTCTGGATTATAACACGTAATTTCTTTTCTAAATGCATCTCATTTAAAAAAGACAATATAAATAAAATTCTAATAACAATAACCTCTTTATTTTATAATAAAAATTGTTATTTTCATTGACCTGGAATTAATTTCAAATTACCTTTCTCTCCTCTGTACTTGATTGCATCATAGTATACCTGTAGTAATTCATCAAAATCAGTTTTTTCTCCTCCTTGTGGTTCTACAATGACTGTCTTCACCAACTCCAGATTATGCCATAAACCAGTATATTGCCAACGATCCTTTAATTTTTCTAATAACTAAGAAAAGAAAAAGTTTCAATTTTTTGTGTTACTCTGAACAAAACTACCCTCGTTTAAAACCAGTATAACTATAAGGCGACTATGGCATGCATGTTAAACTTTCTGTGTCTTTTTTCATTTATAAAGTGAGGAAAAAAATATTATCTCATAGAGCTGTTACTGGGTTCATTCATGAATATATTTAGAGAGGTTTAATTAAATGGTGTTGGTACATAGTAAGAGCTCAGTAAATGTTAGCTACTGCCATTACTACTATCACTACTGTTGCTGCAGCTATCACTACTTTTATTATTAGCTCGGTGATTTAGAAAGCAAAATAAAATAATTCTGTCAAAGTTGGTAAATTTTAAGTTCTCTCTTCAAATCTAAGGTGAAGTTCCTTAATACTTTTAACTAAGGAATTCTTAAATGAAGAATTTTTAAGGCTATTTTACTAAGGATACCAGCATACTGCTTGACCATTTCAGCATCATAGATAACCTGAATTGAATAACTTATCAACAGAGACTCAGCCAACAATTAAAAAAATACATGGGTATAAATGGAACATTTACAGAAATAACCATGGGCTAGATTACATAAAGACTTAACAAATTCCAAATATTCTTTATCATTTTGACCACTTATTCTAACAATAATGCAATATCAGATTAAAAGTTAATAATATGGGCCAGCTCTGTGGTACAGCAGTAATAAGCTGCTCAGGAGAAGATGTATCCCACATGACAACTACAGTTGGAATCCCTAGTCCAGACAGCCTGCGACATGCTAGGCATAGGAATGAATGCCAAAAATTTGAGAGGCTGGCAGTTTGGAAGAAGGGGATTGTGGCATGACCAGACACTGTGGAGGATGCTCCTCTCTCTCCCACCTCCATGTACTCATACATGCATGTATATACTCTATTGAGAATTTAAAAAAAAAAAAAAAAGTCAATAATGCAAACTCAGTGGGGAAAAAAAAAATGTCTGGACAACCACAGTTCAAATACTGGACCTGGCAGCTTGAAACTCACATCAGGCACACGTGTGTGCATGCCCCAAATCCCAGAAGAACGGACAAGGGATTTGAGTGTGGCCATTCCCCCATGATTTCTCTTTCTCTCTCTCTCTCTCTCTCTTTCTGTATGTCTCTGGTGAATCAAACTCAGTGGGGAAAAAAAAAATGTCTGGACAACCACAGTTCAAATACTGGACCTGGCAGCTTGAAACTCACATCAGGCACACGTGTGTGCATGCCCCAAATCCCAGAAGAACGGACAAGGGATTTGAGTGTGGCCATTCCCCCATGATTTCTCTTTCTCTCTCTCTCTCTCTCTCTTTCTGTATGTCTCTGGTGAATGCATGCACCTGATGGCAAAAACTTAAAAAAAAAAAAAAGTCCAACACAAAAACTTAGTTAAAAATCTTATAGATTAGGGACCAGCAATTAGCAAAATGGCTATGTCGCTGAATTCCCATGTAGTTGACCACGGTTTGAGTCCTGGACCCAGTGGCGTGGACTCACGTCGGGTGCGTGTGCATGCGTGCCCAGGATCCCAGGAGGAGAATGGAGAAGAAGGGATTGCGGCATGTCCATCCTCCCTGGGGGGTGTAATTTCTCGCTTTCTGTCTCTCTGTCTCTCTCTCTTTCTGGCGAACACATATGCCCTACAGCAAAAACCTCTCTTCCCCTCCCCCCAAAAAAACTTATAGATTAGAAAGGAAAAAATGAAGAATTAGTGAAATCTTTAAATATGAATAATAAAAACAATTCAAAACATACAGGATGTATGGGGTTGGCAAATGGCATGGAGGTTTAGGGTGCTGGATTCCCACATAGCTGACTATGGTTCAAGTCCCAGACCTGATGGCTTGCTTTCTCACTCTCTCATCTCTCTGCTCCTCTCTGGTCAAATTAAAATTAATTAATTAATTAATTAATCAATAAATTCTTAAAAAATATATATGTAGGATACAGCAAAGGTAATAGTTAGAAATAGATTTATAGCTTGAAATACATTTATTTTTAAAATGTGAAAAGTATCAATCATTCTTTTCAAGAAGCCAGAAAAGAAAACACAGCAAAACAAGTGAATAAAGGTGAAACAGTAGTAGTGATTATTATGATTTAAGTTGAACTCTTTTACACACTTATTCTGTCATAAATTTGACAAAATGTAGACCAATTATTTAAAACCGCCCCAAATTCTCTAGAGAACAAAAACTACTCAATTTTATAAGATGGTTTATTTCCTCAAAGTTTTACCCTCATCTATTATTTTGAAATAAGCCTCTGAATAAGATCATAAAATAAATTTTATAGTACTGGTCTAGCCTAGTGGCAGTCAGTACCAAACTGAGCTGGAAGCCACATGCTCAACTCCAAGTCTGGATCCCTGGTTTGGCTTGAAAGCATGTTGGGAATCCAAGATCCTGATAAGTTGGAGGGTAGGGGAGAGGGAATGGTACAAGGACGAGACTCTGGCCGGGTTGCTTTTCTTTCTTTCTCTCTTATGCATGCACATATGCTATCATGAAAAAAAAAGTTCAGCTTTAAAAAAATTTTTTAAATTATTTATTTAACTCCATTTCTTCTTCTTATTATTTTTAATTTGACCAGAAAAGGACAGAGAAAAAGGGAAAGGGAGAAAGCAAGCCACCAGGTCCAGGACTTGAACCATGGTTGGCCATATGGGAATTCAGCATCTTTAACCACCACACTACGTGCTAGCCCTAAAAAGTTTTTCTATCACTGATTAGTAATAGTGTATTGTTCTTTATATAATGGTCAGGATTCCCTAACCTATAAAAATTAAAATTCAATAACATATCATAAAAAATATGAGGCTACTATGAATCTAAAAGTCTTTTCCATTTTAAATATCTCACAGGTTGGCTATTAGAACTTACTTTTTGGGTGCCAGCAAGTGGTGTGGTGGTTGGGGTGCTGGACTCCCACATGGCCGATAGCGGTTTGAGTCCTGGACCTGACAGACTGCTTTATCACTTTCTCTCTCTCTCTCTCTCTCTCTCTCTCTCTC